ACATCGCCATTCCTTCCCCTTCCATCTCTTCAAGGCACAACACTACCGCTGCAGAGCAACATTTCCATGCTCGGTATGGAAGTTCGCTCAGACCTGAATCCAAAGGACTACATCGAAACCGTAATCAAAACAGCTTCACGCAAACTCGGAGTCCTGAACAAGGTGCGGCGTTTTTTCACGCCCGATCAACTGTGCTTGTTGTACAAAACGCAAGTGCGGTCCTGCGTGGAATATTGCTCGCACCTCTGGGATGGCTCCGCCAAGTACTTGCTCGATGCTTTGGATAGGTTACAGCGGCGCGCAATCCGCATCATAGGCGATGAGGAGGTGACTAAACACCTTGAGCCTCTTCAATTACGCCGTGACGTGGCGTCACTAGGCGCGTTCTATCGTTTGTACCACGGCGAGTGTTCTGAGGAGTTATTCTCTCTTATCCCACCTTCCCCTTTCCTTCAGAGGACCACGCGCGCTGGCCTACGTTGTCACCGTCTTACTGTGGCCACAATTCCAACGCGTACAAAGAAATTTGGTGACTCATTTCTTTGTCGCACTATCCGTAAATGGAATGCTCTGCCCGCTCACATGTTCCCTCCCTCTTACAACCTGGGATCCTTTAAAAGAGGCGTGAAGAAGCAACATGCAGGCCGGCAGGGTGAGGATGGCTGGTGTGGCAGGTAGAACTGCTGTATCAGCTATCTTCGCGTCTGGACTTCACCTTCACTTAACATCAGGTGGGGTGGAGTCATTTGTCGGACCTAACTATAAAAAAAAAAAAAAAAAAAAAAAAAAAAAAAAAAAAAAAAAAAACAGTGAAGCCTTATTTACTCGTGCGTTATTTAAAGCGACTGTGAAGTTATATAAAGGCTCGTTGTAAAAAAAAATAGGGCGTTTTGTTCTTAGGGTTCAGTTATAATAAAAGAATAATATTTTTGACACACCAATTAGCCCCAAAGTAAGGTTTACGTGATGGCATTGGCATACTAGGTTTACGGATAGAAATACATTTGTGTGTTATACATATATGATTAAATATCTTTGTAGAATTCTATTATAAACAGCCATGCGAACATTTGAGTGTAGGCGATATCTTGAAAACTGGCGCAGTGTGCACATTGTATACCTCACGGACCCACTACGGAGGTCGTCAAGTCAATGAGGAGAATCCAAAGAGTTATCAAGAAAGGTCAACAGATAAATAACAGAGATCTAGCAAAAAAATGACAAATCTACGTACCTCTTTCAAATGTTATTGTATAAAATCACTGCCGAGTCATTGCAGAGTAGTATTTAGCGAAATTTTAAACTTTTGCATTTCTTATGGCGTAACGTCCAAGCGTTGGGCAACAACAATCTAAAGAAATCACAAAAGCTTTAGAAATTGTAGAGAAATTATGAATAATTATGAGTTGAGTTGGCTCGTTCGCTCTTTCGGGAAAACGGACGAAAAGTCGAGAAGACGAGAACTTTTTATTTTTGCTATGACATTCCTTTTAAATACAAAGTCTTCTTAGAAAATCTCTAGTGCTCTAATTAGTGATATTCCGAATATAGATTGTTGAAGTATTTATGAATTATTGTATTAATTAAGATATTCGAACTTCTATTAAAGCTTAATTAACGAATAAGCTTTAACGCAAAGGTGGAGAAAATCGATTTATCATTAATTAATGTAAACAATTTCGGGACACCCTATGTACTAAGGTAAACTTCATAGAATTTTGGTTACCGAGTTTTTTTTTAAACATAATTAATTAATAATGCAATGAATATATTAATCAAATAATAGTTCAAATAAGTCTATAAGAAGAAAGATATTGTTTTATTTAAAAGAAATGTTAAAGTTGAATAAATTATATTATTATTTATAGTATGCTGAAATGACATGATATCGCACTTTGGTTGTTCTATCTTTTAAGTCGTGAGTTTCAAATTGTTTCAGTTTAATGCTAGCCGTAACAAAAATAACATTATATTCGACCGTATTAGGCACAATTTAGCTCGCAGCGGTCACCGACGAAATGAAATAGGCTGTTAAAGCAGTAGGTATACGAATTTTTGTAGTGAGTGATATTTATCTGTTACGTAGTAACTATTGAGTAATCTGTGGTAATAGGTATTTGCTACAGTGTCGCTAGAAACATTATATGAACATTTAGTAACAGTCTAAACAACATGAGTAACATGACTCGAGAAAAAGATACAAATCATTGACAAAACATATATTTGACATCAACCATTTTTTTAAATTAACAACAATGGATTTGTAAAGAATTCCTTAATAAACCGTAAAGCAAAACAATTTACACATATACCGCTTTCTGAACAGGATATCCTGCAAATCCGTGACTACTGGCCTTGGACTTTCGCCTTCTTTTCACTGAAAATATTCTTTTGCATTTTCCCTTTAAGCTCTTCCGAGATTTCACAGTGAAAGTGCCGTTACGATAGACATGCGATGAAGCCCTTTCATCGTGCATGTCATTATTTTCATTTGCATACATGGTCGAGACCATTGGAGATCTATGTGTAGCATATGCAACATATGGTGATACATTTAGTTTAGGATTAAATCCGGACCTTTTTTCATTTCGATGTATAGGAGATCTATCACCATGCGTTGGACAGTGAGAATCAAATGTAGTGACGGATATGCTTATTTCGGAAAGTTCATCTTCCTCTACGGGATTTGTCCATTTATCTTCATACCTCAACGTATGAACGGTGGAATAATATTTGCCTACTCTATCATCAATCATATCGAAGGATGCGCTAGATATTTTTGACAGAGCAGATTCATTTGGTGAACATCTTTTGGTTTTGAATTGACAGCCTACATCTCGTATGAAAACAACTGCTTCGCTGCTTGTGCTCTCCTTTGTGTTACATCCCAGGCTGCATTTGCAGTCTGTGCAGTCAAACTGACATGACTTACTGTATTCACAACAGCAAACAGTATGCAAGACTTTTTGAGACATTTTAGGGTGTATTGTATATGGCGCCTGGCGGTAATTTTTGTGGAATTCGCAATTATTTTGTACACTGGAAATTGCATTTGTCTTAATATCTAAATTTGTAATAACATGATCATGTTGGCATCCAGGATAGTATTTGCACCTAGGTAAATGGGGACAACCCATGACTTCCACATCATTCGTAAGTTTTGGTGGTTCCTCATAATGAAATGTTTTTGAAGCTGGCACACACAAGGGTAAATTAACACAGCGCGGACGATGTAAACATGGCGGTATAAATTCACAGTTATTTTTCAGTACGTTCGTGCGTTGACAAGACGGAACCACGGTACAAGGAGGATGATGCCTGCATGCTTTAGTTATTCTAATAACTTTCGGTTGCTTTGAACTTGTTTGTCTTTTTGTGCATTTGTGATTAAGATAAATATTTTCAGTTGGTAGTATTTGGCAAACAGGTACTAACTCACATCGTGGATTATGGGTACAATTGTCTTCAGAAATGTAACATTTGTGTCCATTTGATTTAATTTTTGAACAAAAGCTATTTTTCGATGGATGTTCATTGAAACGATATATTGAAGAGTTAACATATTTTATACTTTCTTCTTCTTCGGTTGTGCTAAGTGAAATATCAACATTTTCTTTACAATTAGGACATTTAATTTTTTTCCGTCTTTTAATGGATTTTGCTTTGATTTTGTTACTTATGGTTTCATGATGGTCATTTTCTGTATGGGTCATATTCTCAATTAGAGTTGGATTAGCATGATTTTCTTTTACTTTCTCAACTGGTTCATGTTTAATGGGCACAACTTCATATTTTTCGGTGATGACATTATAATCGGTTTGTTTGTTTTCTTGTGTAGAGCAATTTTTAGATTTTTTGTCTTTAACTTCTTTTCTTTCTATTAAGGGTAACTTTTCAGTACTAGTGACTTGATTAACAGTTATTGATTTCTTTTTTGCTAATTCTGTCAAAGATTTCTTATCTGTACAAGGACATGCGTATGAAAATAATTGACACGGGCATGGATCTTCAGTACGTTTGCCACGATCTTTCTTCTTGTGCTTTTTTTCTTCTGGAACGGGATTAGTATATTCTGTTTTGTATTTTGCAAAAGACCAAAACTTTTGCTGTTTATCAGTCACTTCTTTCCCATAGTAGCATTTTTTGTTATCAGAATAAATATCATCTCGTAAAAATATTTCAGAAGATAGAATAGTGTCTCCAGGAAATTGTTTTTTTATTTTTTTCGTAGTAATTTCAACACTGTCACGTGGTATTAGGTTTGGTTTAATTTGTGTCGCACATTCTTGGACTATCGCATCAGATTTAGCTTGGAAGCCTTTTGTATTTAGAGGTATTGTCATCACTTTCAATAAATTGACATTAGATGAATTGATTTCGTGTAAAACATGAAAGGAATGCCTTTTAGCTAGATCGTCGAGATCGTAAAAAATTGTGCTTGTAGAATGGACAACAGAACCTATGCTGTTTTCTGTATTCATGTTCTGACATTGTTCACTTGTAATATACCGCGTTACATTATCTGATTTATTGCCATTTTTTGCTGAATCTCCACATTTCGCTTGAAACACTGATAAATATTTATTGGGCTTTTTAAGATTTTTATATCGAATATTATTGAATGGTGTAGAGCCAAACAAATCATAGATGCTCGTGTAGGACTTTGCACGAGGTGCTAACTTTTCTTTTGTCACATGCATTTTTACGAAACTTGAACGATATGTTGCTTAATTTTGCTTCCAAATACAAACCAACATTACAAATGTAAACAAATTAGCAATTTTATTTACATCATTATTATATTCAAGAATTATTTAATATCGTGTTTTAATCATTTTCCTTTTTTTGTAATGTCACAACGATATGACAAAAGCTGTCAATACTTGTTTTTGAAATTCTTCTTCAAAGTGCAAAAAGAACACAGCTATGTCTATGAGTTATGTTTTTTGTAGTGAAATCCAATATGTATGCGAAATCCTAACCTGTGGTATTTTTTACAGGATTCCACATGGCGCCAAAATTATCGAGGATGTTTCCGGAGTCGTGTCTGCTGATATTTGTCGGAGTGCTGATTGGGGCGCTCCTCCTAAGTACACACAGTGTACACGTGCAGCCGCTGACACCGGACACGTTCTTCTTGTACATGCTGCCGCCAATTATCCTAGATGCGGGCTACTTCATGCCAAATAGACTGTTCTTCGATCATTTAGGAACCATTTTATTATTTGCAGTCGTCGGGACCGTCTTCAATACTTTGACTATTGGTGAGTTGTATTGAAGTTCTTATTTAAAGTACTGAATGCGAACAGCTGAAGTCCGACTGATAGTTGGCATGCACTGCAGGAAACCTATATTCAGCATTAGTTGTCTATGGGCGGAAGAAGAAAAAGGTTCGAGTTCTTTCTGTGATTCTTAAAAATAACAACTGTTTTTGTTATACCTTATAGCAATATTTCAGTATGTATCTACTTTTACAATTCCCTTATTTAGCGGGAGTATCTAAACGCTGCCTTTTAAAATATTGTATATTTAATGTGGATACTAATAACAGATAGATGTAAGCTTAGTGTTGCTGGCAATATTCCGTAACTTAATTTAACTAGGTACTAAATGCTATTTCTTTTCCAGGAGCATCATTATGGGCGTGTGGTCAAACGGGGATGTTTGGCTGCAACACGCCCCTGTTAGACATGCTTCTATTTGGTGCATTGATATCTGCCGTCGACCCCGTAGCTGTGCTGGCAGTATTTGAAGAGATCCACGTAGACGAAATTCTGTACATTGTAGTATTTGGGGAGTCACTCCTGAATGACGCTGTGACTGTTGTTCTGTATCACATGTTTGAAGCTTACACGTGAGTATTTTTTTGTTATTCAAAATAAATATCTCTTAATGAACTTTGTTATTACTGGTCGCTGTAATAGTAGCGGTCCCACCTTCTGCTCTCAAGTTCTGGGTTCAAATCCCAGTAGGGGTGTTTATTTGAGGATGTTTATAACTTCAAATAATATACAGACTTATTTATACATTATTTTTGTCATTAAATTTCATAATTTTGAATTTATTATAGTAACTGATTTTTTTATGATAAAAAAAAGAAAAATTAGGCCAGTAATAACTCTAACATAGTGCTTCGTTACATGTTATATTTATGTTTATTTTTTATCTGAAATGAATCTGAAATAAAAAGCTTTCAAGTAAGTACTAATAAATAAAATAAAAAAATAAGATTCATTTATTTCGAGCAACATAACTCATAATCATAATAATAATACATAACCAATTACTATAGAAATGGGCAAATGTCACTAAAAATACAACTAATTATTTATTTAATTTAATAAATTACATAATTTAAGTTCAATGATTTCCATCAAATAAAATAATTAAAAATCATAAGTTAAGTTAATAGTATTAAAATGTCATACACAAAATGAATATGTACTGAGAACGACAAAAAATGTAAGCATCAACAACGGTACTGGTTCATAAATCTATATTACTAATATGATAAAAAGGAAAGATTTCATTAATAATTGTTTTATTGCATAACTATTGAAATAAGATAGAGACACATTTAAATATCACAAATTAAAAAAAAAATGGCCTAACCTTCTTACCTATATAAATAAATAATTTAAGATAAAGATATATAAAGATTTGATTGTGTTTGTTTGTATTGAACAGGCTTCGAAACTACTAGGCCGATTAGAAAAATTCTTTCACAATTAGTATTTAACATTATCCCTGCTGAACATAGCTTATAGAGTATTTTCAAAGAAGTTAGGGTTTATGATAACTTCGATAATGTAACCCATAGTGTGAAAAAAATACCGAAAAATTATCTTATATCGCGTACGCTGCGGAAGTCATTGACAATAGAGCAGTGATGTATTAATTTTTTATAGAAAACATTAATATGTACAAAAAAGTCCGCTATACCATATGTCTAACTATCACAGTTATGTCATAACCAGGGGTTGCCTTCTGTTTCACCCGCGTCAATTTGAGAAAAAAAGGTTATAGCCGAGTCAAACTTAAAAGATGAACATATGCTGTCGCAGACTTTTTTATAGAAATTTTTAATGGGAAACAATTCCGTCGCACATGATTTATGTGTAACTTTAACCGTTTACGTAGCGCGCAACGGAAGCTCACAAATGCAATATTTATACCTATTTTTGCAACAGTTTTCATTGATGCTCCGCTCCCACTGGTCCTAGCTTGGTTTTATATAGCCAAAATGCAGTATCAAACACAAAAATATTTTTTTAACTCGGACCAGTAATTGCTGAGATTTGCGCGTTATACAAAAAACTATAGTCTACACCAGTAGTTCCAAAAAGGAGTTCCGCCGATCCCAAGAGTTCCATAAACTTCAATTTGGGGTTCCGCGATTTTTTTGTAATATGTATAAGTACAACAAAAATCAATTTTTTTATTGATTAAATACTATCTGAAATAAAAGAAACAATACGGGGGCCCGCGGATTTTTTTTTACTCTAAAAAAGGTTCTCCAGACAAAAATTTTTGTGAACCCTTGGTCTACACTACAACTCTACACCGAAGTGAAGCGTGGTTGGGCCACTAGTATTTAATAAAACAAAAATAACTTCATATATACAATTAATGAAGTCTCTACTTGGCTCAAACGTTCACCGTAATCATTGTCATTTGCTTCCAGAGAAATGGGCCCATCTCGGCTTGTCTACACGGACATCCTGGCCGGGCTAGCTTCATTCCTAGTGGTGGCAGTAGGCGGCACCTTCATCGGCTGCGTATGGGGCTTCGCCACAGGCCTCGTGACCAGGTTTACGCACGAGGTCCGCGTTATCGAACCGATCTTCATCTTCGTCATGGCATACCTGGCTTATCTGAACGCAGAGATGTTTCACATGAGTGGAATACTAGCGTGAGTGAATTTTTAGTGGAGATGTAACTCTGGTCTAACTTGCTTATCGTTGCAAAATTACGATACAAAATTATAACTCAGGTCCGTAGGTCATCCCCGGAAGCTCGCGGGCTGGTGTGGGAGCGCCAGTCTGCATTGGACGGTTCCTTTGATACTCCGGGGCACCTAACATCGGGGGGGGGGAGTCCGGCAACGGACAAATACCTTGTGGGTGCGTGGTCAGTCTCTTGTAGGGTGTCACGTCACCACCCACACTCCCGGCACGCATTAAGAGGGCCCCGGTCATAAAAGTGCATGTCTGGTCCCCGGTGCCGGAGTATTATCACTATTATCTGGTTTTTAGTAGGCTGGGTGAAATGGGCGGGTAGGATACCCCGTTCGCGCTATTCCCGGTGGTTCATTGAGGCGTAACGCCTATTCCAGATATAAAAAGAAGGTCCTTAGGTCGTGGGTCAGGAGCATGCAGAACCATGTGATAATTAATTTTGTTCACTCATTATATAACCAGCGCCTGTAAAAGTCACTTCGTGCTACTACGTCATCGAGTTCTTCAATTTAAATCAGTTGAAGCAGTGATATTTCAAGGATAAGCAAAAAAAAATTATTTTTAAGTACTTAGGTGTGGGAACTCATATTTCTTAAACAATTAAATAACAGAGATACTTTAATTTTAAAAACACTTTTTCAGTATAACATTCTGCGGTATCACAATGAAGAATTACGTAGAAGCGAATATTTCGCACAAATCGCACACCACCATCAAGTACACAATGAAGATGCTATCGTCTTCTTCGGAGACCATCATCTTTATGTTCCTGGGAGTGGCCACAGTCAACAACAACCACCACTGGAACACTTGGTTTGTCCTGTTGACAATCGTCTTCTGCTCAACATTTCGAATAATAGGTGAGGCTTTTTAAAAAGCTTCATTCAATCTGTTAGAATATTATTTCAAAAGAAAAAAGCATAATTATAGCTCTATCGATATCAAGCTCATACTAAATTTAACATTAAGACCCTTGGAACACAACATTGCTGGATCCTTATGTGTATATTCCACCGCAAGTTATTAACTCCACAGATAACAGATCCGAGAATTTTGTTTACCTTTCCAGGTGTTTACATATTTAGTGCTGTAGCTAATAAATTTCGTTTGCACAAACTCAACACGGTCGAAAAGTTTGTGATGTCCTACGGGGGTAAGTTTCGATGCACGGTACTAAAATATTCCATAAATACTAAATGAATTTTTATATAATAAAAAACTTTTTGATTTAGGACTTCGAGGTGCAGTAGCGTTTGCATTGGTGCTATTAATAGATCCTGAAGTGGTAAAGCTTCAGCCTATGTTCGTCACAACGACGATAGCGGTGATTTACTTCACGGTCTTCATCCAGGGTATCACGATCAAGCCCCTGGTGAAGATCTTGAATGTAAAGACGGCGGAGAAGAGGAAACCGACAATGAATGAAAGAATACACGAAAGGGTAAATTGGAATATTTTAATATTAGGTTTGCTTACATTAAAGTTAAAATTTCAATATCAAAATCATCTTTTGTACACTTACCATCTGATCTGATGAGCTAACCCAAATTTTGATTTAAAAACAATGGTGCGAGCATCCCTTAAAACATACATTACGTTAATGTAAACAAAATTCTATTTCTAATGGAATTTTCCATTTATATTTATAACGGATTTTTTATTTAAATTTCAGTTTATGGACCACTTGATGGCAGGTATAGAGGATATTTTAGGTAAACATGGTAATCATCATATAAGGGATAAGTTCAAGAGATTTGATAATCGATTTATAAGACCGTTTTTGTTAAGGAACTATCAGGTAATTTTTTTAAACATTAGATATGTAATATAATATCGAATCCTCTTTATAATTTCTTTCTTTAAATTTGTTCTGTTTAAATTCTCAGGGAGCAGAGCCAAAGATTTTGGAAACTTATTCGAAATTAGCAATGAAAGATGCCATAGAATATATGCAAAGGAATGCATCTACTATTGGAAATATATCCACGGCCGAGTCAATGTCGGCGATTTTCAAAAATTACACTAACGCTAATTTTAATGGAAGGTATGGTTGTGGCATATATACTTTCTAAAGTAATTCAATTCAGACCGCCTACAGAAAGAATTTCATTTATTACAGCCCAAGTTTCAGTCAACTTGATTCATCTACATGGAATATAGATATGCAAGAACTTGAGTATAATCCATCGAAGAAAGACTTGACTGATGCAAAAATTCATCATCTTCTTGCTGAAGAATTGTGTAAACCGTTCCGTCGTGTAAGCATTAAATCTCTTTTGAACTTTTTACTTCCACTGTAATATTTTTTTATTGTTATTTGATAAAACAACCGGCTTTTCTCAGTACAAAATTTGCCAACCGATGTTGTATCTTTCGACTTTCCCGCGTGCTTGTAAAAACCTAATATGAATTTTATTTTACAGCACCGTCGCCTAAGCTACAGTAGGCATGCAGTGAACGATCGTGATTTAGGCATACAATTAAACTACAAGACGCACATGAATATACGACGACGTGTTGGTGACAGAAAACACCACCATAAACGCAGTAAACGAGGGAAGCAGGTAAGATTACTTATAATTAATTGATAGGAAACATACTTCAACATATTTAAAATGATATAAACTTCAATCACAGGTAATGCACGTGTTCATGACACAAACACGACGCGATTATCATTTGTCAGCCCGTTAGGCCTAGCGGTTAGTGATCCTGACTGCAAATCCAGCAGTCCCGAGTTCGACGGTTCACAAAACTTCTAAAAATAATAATCTCGTCATCTTATTATTATACCATACTAAATTCGCTGGTGGCCTTTCTCTGTGACTTTATAATTGATATTAAATGAAATGAAACTCCTGTTTCCTCCCTTATATTTCAAGGAAAAATAATTAAAGCAGTTTTTTCAATATTGGATTCTAAGAGGATATTTAATTTAGTGTTTATATGGAATGTTCTTTTATTACAGGAAGGCAAAAATCATGTCACCTTCCCCGAATTCCAGCAAAACGGTTCGGCAAAACAGTTCACGCACGGTAAAATAAAGTATTATAGATTAGGTACTTAACTATTTTTTATTATTATCACGAGTGTCGATCGCATGCACGTGTGGGTCCAAGTATTTATTTTTCGTTTATTATATTTTTTCATTTTACAGTAACTTATAATCATCGTAACTTTATTTGCTGAACACTAAGATGCTTTTTTGCGCACTAGTTGCAGCGGCATTATATACTAGAGAAATATGAAGATACGCATTAAAACACAGTATTTGATTTCTTAGTGCATGTTCAATTGTTTTGTTGTAAAAAGGACCTAATTATTGCTAAATTATAAATATTGAAAATTTAGAAAAATGGATCGTACGAGCTAATTAAGTTTTGTACATTCACTGCAACTCTCTTGTATCCTTGTCAATGAATTAGAATGAACAGTAGTTGTTAAATCACTAGCTAAATCTATAGTGAAACTAGAAAGAACGAAAGAAGCAGTTAAAGTAGTAGGCGCTCGTTCAAGGCACCCAATTTGTTTTCCTGTTCAACATTGAAGTACAAATGAGTCCTCGATCCACAGATTATATCGACGAAGTACTCCAAGAAGACTGTGACGAAAGGGAGCCGAGACGAGAAGGTGACGACGGCGGTATAACTTTCACTGCAAAATCCCTGCGTAGGTATTCTGCATGAACACCCGTGTCACTTAGAGGTTTGGATCTGAATAACGCTAGATGCTCTAATTTGTTGCTAACTAATGTATCCTACAAGGGAACTTCTGTATTATTTTCTACCGAAAAAGTTTTCTATACCTCAAGATCTTTTATTTGTAATATAACCCGGAAAATGAATATCATCATATATGACGGGAACAAATGACTAAAAGTGGGTTTATTTTTCAACTAACTCAAGTGATCTTAACATTTACCTTTTTAAGGCTTGTGTTTAACCTCTGTGCTGAACAGTAATCAACTGATTTAGGTTAACCTAATTTTTGTTCACCATCTAGACTAGATCAATCGGAATTCAAATCCAAACGACGCTTAATGTTGTGTACAATGTATTTCTCACTTGTTTTGCACTTGACTATTCTAACTGATTTGATTAAAATAAATTAAATTGGGTTCATTTTTACTTCAAGTATAATGGGTACAAGAATTAATTTGCCGAAGAACCTACTGGTATGGCTACCTGTGGGAATGGACGTAAATGTGGTGGCATGACCATTCTCTTCTTTATGTGATATTTATTCAAATCTTTTTAAAATGATTTCTTTTGAAACAATTATTTTGGCTTATTTTGAAACACGGAGCACTGATGATATTGTATTAAGTAATAACATTTATTGTGAAGCTTTTACATTATTTCCATTATTATACCATACACTATGAATTTTAGTTGATTTTGGAGCTGAAATTCCTTTTCATTAAGAAGTATTAGAAGACTCCAATATGCCAATATAAAATATTATCACAGCGAAAGATATATGTATCAAACATATGTTACTAAAGAGCATTATTTGTATATTGGCTAAGTTATTAGCTATTATCGTAAAGGGCAGTGAACTAGTCAATTAACACAAGCTACAAAACCAGCAAAATATGAAAGTGTATGTACTTATACTACGATAACTGTTAAATCTCGTTCTCCGTGTTGAGTAATCTGTCTCCTGCCACATGTACATGTTGAAGCTAGTCCTCGTATCTCTAGAGATCCACGGCTCATTATTTGCTTGTTTAATCGTTTGTTTGATTGTCGTTTTCTTCCCTTCTGGCAAACTTCATGTGGCACCGCAATTACCGATACTCTCGACAACTGGCGATAGCGGGATACAAAGAAGTCAGTCCAACGTCCTCGCATAAAGAAAATAGTAGTTCGCTCTTAAACCAGTTGGCTAACCTGCCCGGATTCAATCCTTTGAAAGCAAGAATAGTAAAGCAATACGCTAAAACGCCAGAAGAGATTCTGCCGACAGCTGTTGAGAAATCTTTACCGTGGAGAAGGGACAGATCCACGTATAACTTTGGTATGTGTTTAACGTAATAAGGATTGTCATCACTATTTGTGCGATGCGTCTGGTGATCTGAATTTTCATTAAGTGCACGCGGCAAAAGTTTGGAAAATATCGTTTACTTAATTTTATGATGTTTCATTATCTTAATATACGTATATTTTAGTTGTACCTGTGATTTATGATAGATCAAAATTGCGGTAACACTGTTTTTGTGCTCCTATTTGAAGCTTTGATTGAATTTATTATGTGGGGATATTATAGAGTAAACATTAAGTAATTATTAATTCGTTAGTTAATATTCGTTATATTTAAACTGCTACATAATAAAAGGTGATTGAATAAAAGTATTACAAATTTCGTATTGGGCTAATTATGACGTTATCTTAAACACGTACAAAAATTCTATCAAATGCTATAGTGATGATTTTCAAAATTAAATGTAACAATTTCTAAAATTGATTGATCTTCTTTTTACGTATCAGCCTAAGACGAACATGTTTATTCGTCCAAGGCTTCAGGTTCATTATCAATGTTATCCTACGGTACTTTCATAAAATTACAAAAAAACAACAAAACATTTGAATCCGGCTAATGGCTGGCTAATTTTTAAATAAAATATTTGCCTAATAAATCTTTTATACTGGACAAAGTATGTGACGTATCAAATTAATACAAATATAAAATCAGTCATCCTGTACGCCGAAGCATTAATTATACGTAATTTATTATTATTATTGTATAGTTTAGATAAGGAAAATGCGTTTCTTTGCCGAGTGCACGGTCTAGAATCACAATCACTCTTTGCTATATGCCATTTGTAAATAGAGTCTCCTACAAGCTATTGCGGATTTACTTGTCGTTTTTTCTAGGTCCAAGGCTCTTTATTTACATAACAACACTAAGACAAGAAACATTAGTGTAAACGTCATTGGATTTTAATTTCGTAATAATTCTAAAAATCTTTATTTAAGCTCTCGTACGTACAAGAGTTCATTAGTATGACAAATTATGAAGGATAATTCAAAGAATGTGATAGAAACTTTTCTAATGTTATTATCTTATAAGAAAAAACAAGTAGCAAAAAGGAAAAGTTACCATGCAGTAACACAACCATCTATTGGCTTTAACCACAGAACACAGAAATCGCTGTGTTCTGTGGTTTTAACATACGCTTCTGTAATAATGAAAAGGCTGATTTGATTCCATTCAAATAGCGTTGAATTTATTCTAGTAAAAAAATTTTTAGATAAGAAAATCTAGCAGTTATGACCATAGGTTACTAATAAATAACAAAGTAAAAAAATAAATTAAGACTTTTTGTGTGTATAACAAAGAGTGATTGTCAATAAAATGAAATTCTAACTGAAGCTTTTCACACAAGTAACTCATCAGGCGCTGCAACAATTTCACGCGTTCTTACTTACAGATATAAGAATTTGCATGTTCTTACTAAACACATACTTATGATATTTTGCAGTGTACTATTTCGTAATTTATGTATGTCTATTCAAGTATCTCTAATGCTTTGTAGTTAAAATTCGTAGAAATAACCGTTTTTACGTCATCCTAACATTTTATTAATACGTTTTGTTCTACTTACTAACGTCTTAAGAATATTAACTATGTCCTAAACACATATTTAATATTCTAACTAGTCGTTCATATAATATGGTCTGACGTATGGGTTATTAACAAGTATATAATTTTAACAGTTTAATACGTAAGTAAACAACGTATTTTTAGACTTTGTGACAGTTTCATGTATAAGTATGTGTGTACTTATCAAATTATGTAGTTGTCGCTTCTTTTTATTAATAATATATTGACCATATAATTTTATTACACTTAAATAAACTTTTTTATGAAAAAAATATAGTATTTTATGTAATAAACCTCCAAGTTTTTCACTTTATACTTATTTTAAATGAAATTGTTTAGCAACGATATGCTTTTATATTTTTTTATTAATTTAAGATACATACATTAATAATGAAATACCTATTTGCTATTACAAGAAAAATACCAATGATTTCTTTTTATTGCATTAAACATTATTAATTCAATGAAAATTCTTACAAATTCAATAATCCATATGAATTAAATTGTTTTGTTTAGCAAATCATAATTTTTATTATTTTTTTAGTACCCAATGACGATATTCTAGAAGAGGACGAAAGGAGAATGTCCGATGATAATGGTAAGTAAATTCTTAAGGTTAATAATTGTTATTTAGACTTACGTGTGTCTATTATATGTTTGCCACACGTTTACTTTACGGTTTTTTTATTTCGATTGGATCTCCTTGGATTTGGTTTTAATCGATACTTAATTTTTATGCTAAAAAGAAAAAGGGACTAAAGATGTAGTTCTAATTTTCACTACCCGCACGTGGCGCCATTTGGAAATGCGCACCATGATGTTCTTATTTGAAAAAGTTAGCTTCATTACTTAAATTAGGTTTAGGCACTGTTTTCTTGCAAATGGGTTTAAAAAAGATTGCATGACACTCTTGCGGAATTGGTATTTACAAACTCGTGACTATAGTAAGCCCTCGACATCGTCTTGGACATTCGTCTACACATTTTTTGTAATAACCAACTTACCGCACTAATATCATAAATTGCTATTGACGCACTGTAGTAGAATTTGTCAGATACTTACCTACCATTACCTATGACTCCGAAATAAAAAGTTAGGTAAGTAAGGAAACGAACTGTCGACTTTTCTGTCATTGGCCGAAGTAACGATGATAGGGGCTGTGTTTCTTTACTTTATTACTTTGGCCAATCAAAGCGTCCTTTTTCAACCATATCCTACGAGTGCAGTGTCTGCCTATAATAGTAAGCTAGTGTCGCATTAAAATAAGATCTATTATAGTTTTTCAGATCCCATAATTTTGTTTTCTAGACACATACATGACAATCACCGAACACGGGCGCGTGGCCACTCCCACAGCTACGGAGACGATGTTGCCATGGAAACGGGAGGAGGCCGAGGGCGCTGGGGCGCTCAAACAATCCGAGTTCCCAGCGTGGGCCTCGAACAAGGAGTACCTGGCCTATAGTTCACCATCAGCCACGTTTCTGGGTGAGAATCAACATTTTATTACCAGTTTCACTGGTAAATAACATAGATTAGACTACGACTATTAGTATTAGTACTATATGTTCAATTAATCCATTGTTGTAAATTTTAGTATAGGCAGAATATTTCTTAGGGTCACACCAATTAGCCTAACCCCAAAGAAAGTACGGTATTAGGTTTGTGTTATGGAATATTACAATGTAGCGGCAAACTTCTTGAGTAAACCTCAGACAAATAAACTTGCGCAGTAGACGATTTTGTATGTAAAATTGCTAATGCGCAGGCTTCCTTGTCTATGGTCGTTGTTCAAGAAGTTTGATCATACTGAAGGTAACGGATAGATATACATATAATGATATATACGGTTTAAATATGAAGACTACATCGAGGAAGAAATAGGCTGCTTAACAGAATAATAGTTAAAATTTTCACTATTGAATGTGTTTTTAATTGCTAAATAATAAAGTTTAAAAATTAAGGGGGTTTCCACATAATACATTGCCATGACGATTTGGATAAACGAGAGTTTGTACTTATCGAAACATTTTGTATTGCAAATGTTATCATCCTTATACCATGTTACGGAACCCTACGTGTTCAAGACCGACTTTATTTTAGTTGTTGTAAGTGCATTATAAATAGCTCACCGTTTTGTTTAAGTGCACTGAGATACCTAATAAAAAAAATATTTCTATTATAATGACATGATTGCCTATATCTGCAATACTTTTTTATTTTGTCCGAGCACAATTTGCATTACAGTTTTGCATGAAGCGTGAACATTTTGCATGTAACCCTTCACTCGTAATAAATAGTATCAAATTTATCCGTTACTATTTCTATGTAAATAATCTTTGTTTTCTGTTTCAACAATGAGGCCTTTACAATTAGATCTACTTTACTTGTAACATTTTCTGATTTGAGTTTTTCTCTTTGCCCTACCTATCCTCGTTCGTTCCTTTCATCATCATTAGGTGGTATAGAAAAGCCAAAACATCCGAAATCTATCATAGGTCTCTTTCGGAGAGAGAGCTCTAGTTCAACGCAGGGTGCGGGGGAGGCGGTCGCTTCAGACTCGGAGGGGAAAGGGGAGGGTAGTTTGAAGGGGGAGGCAACGCAGCCGAGACAAGGGCCTAGTATGCTGTCTAAGAGAAGCACTAGCCTTGGGGGACCCTCGGTTCTCCTGATGGAGGACGTGGCGCATTCGGACCCACTCGGCGCTTCGACCAGGCCTGCTAGCATTATGCAGGGCCCGCATCGTGGACAGTGTAGAAGAGGATCCATGCTAGAGCTCACGGGGTAAGTGTAAATTAAATTTTGTGATTGCATATTTGCAATTCATATCTTTGAAGCTCCACTAAAGAGAATCGTATCCCTTGCATCCATTGCTATATCTGAATATATATAGACTCGGTGAAGTTCCACAACGGGGATCTCGCGGGTCCGCACTTAATAGGGTAGTGGGTATTCGCAGGGTTTTTTAGCGGATATTATGCCGTAAGCGCTCGCAAGCCGCACGGACTGCTTAACGGCTTTTCCGTTTCGCACCCGTGAGACATGCAAGAGGCTAGGTGTGAGGTCCGTTCGTTGGTGTGCCCCTTAGAGCGCCAACGTCTGTAAATAGAGTTTTTGCCTGCGTAAAAAGAAACTGAATATATATAAAAACATATATACCTATATACTATATATAAAAACAAAAGCGAAGTTAAGGAAATTTCGCAGTAGCCGGGTTTAGAATGGGTGACCAAAACTTCTATTCTATCGAGCACCTCCATAGGTATTTCGTAATTCCCGTTAAGCCGTTGATCTTGGTTGCATTTACAGTCGTTAGTACTCTGGTAGGCGGCCTGTGCATTGGCACTGAACAAGCTTATGTGGTGAAATGCTATCTCCCTATCCCATCCGTGGATAAGGCTCGAAGTGGGGTCATTAACAGGCAGGTGACGATGATAAAATTATATATTGCCGGTATTGTTGGCATTTGTTGGGTCACGGTTCGTTATAGTGTCGATATCCGTGAAAGTGAGCGTTCAATATTTTCTTTTACTAACAGCATGAGAGTTTATGTTAATACAAACCCACAAAGATTCTATCACCATAGAATCTGCGATATATTTTTATTTAAAATTTATTTTTTATTAGCATATACCTACCTAAAAACTTAGAACAAATTGGACGCTAGTACACAATATTCATAGGTACTATGTTCTTAGAAAAAAATTAAATGTATGGCAGTGCTTAAAATAATTTTTCAATGTTAATTTAACAGTTTTATTTTGTACCGTTTTCAGATCGTTATCACGAGACGCCATAACTGAGGAGAAATGCAGCAAATCCCTGCCCGAGAGCGAACGGATGGGTGTGCGTCGATTGCCTTTAGGTCAACAGAGCTTACCGCGAGAGCCTTTCATAAGGCAACTCACCATGGCATCTACACTTCTCACCAGTTCATCCTCCGATGACTCATCCGATGAGAACACCTGAAAACCCCGCCGTGGTGACCCTGATAGGTTGCCACTTTTAAAATACCGGACACTAGAATAGGCCCCAGCCCCATTTTTAAACCGACTTCCAAATCAAATAGAAGGAGGTTATTTATTCGACTGCATTTTATTACAAAAGGCGCGCTTACACGTACGGATAAACTGAAACGGTAGACTGAAATGATTTGAGTGGATAACGTGAAAGTTGAATTGGACAAACACTTTCTAAACAGTGCTGTGAATTTGTGGTGTAGCTATATAAAGAAAAGTAAGATTTGATAATAAAGTGGCTTAACGTACGTTAGTTGAATAAATTAAGATATTATTCTATATTTTGGCTTACGTTTTAAAGACATCATGATCAAACAAAATGTATTGGATTAATGGACCTGGAAAAAATTACTATGGACGAACATTTAAATGGTCTACCTAGATGACCTGGCTTATTTGTCGACTTAAAATATTTTATGTAACGTTAGGTAGCGTGTTTTTGAAAATCTCTGTATTTCTGCGAGACTATTTAACAGCTTTATTTAGGATTAGAGGACTTTGGTAAAATTTATTTTGTAAATCAATCAAACTCAAATAAATTATATTTTTCCCCGTTTTGTACTAATGTAATCCATTATTTTTATCTCATATAGGTAAAAATGCTCTTGTAGAATCTATAGTATTTTTTGTTAACTTATCTATCACAAAATGTATAAAATTATCGACTTTAGATGTGAGGATTGTTTGTAAAAAGATTCCTAAAGCTATCTTTTCATTACCTATTCTGTATGTACAACTATTTTTCTACTCCTGTAAATACTGTTTTCTTAATGCTATTGCAAGTAAAATGGGACAATGATTTTTTACTTAGAATAACATTTACTTATAGGGATGATGACTAACTTTTTTTTATTGGTCCATGGGGTAGATAGTCAATAAGAATTGGACCCATTTTTTGACATAATCAAAAAATTACAGAGTTATTTTGATTTGAAATGTTGCATGCGGTAACTTGGTAAATTTTTACTTGGAAGTGACGTCATTAAACCCCACACCCAAACTTTGACGCGCTTTGTCTGTAGATTTTTTGGTGGATTGAGAAAAAAAGTGTCCATTATTTTTTAACTGACAGACTAAATACAGTTTATTTTACCCCATCATCATCCCTATTGATTATTATTTCGAATTAAACCAATGTTCGAGCACATTATGACTGGTAGCAGTGTTTTAATTCATTTCATTTTCACTAAGTCATAACTGGATTCTTAAGCAAATTTTCAATGTAAGACCTAAATTCCTTTTCGGTATACGAACCACGCCATAGCTAAGTATAACTTTTCCCAAAAAGGTACCCCGCGGATTAGATAAATAACTTTGTGTATTGTATGGGTTACCCATTAAAACCGACTCTTACGACCGAAGACACTGTGATGGAAGTTGATCTCAGTATAAGTTTTATGTCAGCTTCTTTCAAATTAACGACACTGTATGTAATAAAACAGGGAGCAAAAAGAAGCCCTTTCTGAGTTTCTTTACGGGTTTTCTCAGTACAAGGTCTCCCGCCGAAGATTTGCGAACCGATGCGTGGCGTAGCTTTCGACTTTCACATGTGCTTGTAGAAGCTTGAACTGAATAAATGAATATTGAATTTCAAAAAATAATAATTTCAACTGTATATATTGGAAACGGGATTTTCAAGATACGTTGACGTTGAAATAAGCATACATAAGTACTTATTTGCTATTACGATTATTGTTAGATAAAGTTTGATGCCAATAACTGCAACCCGTCCTAATGTGTTATGATTTTAAAGGCACTTCTTGCCAATGACAATACTATAAATATCAAGTGTAGGTTCAATGTATAGTCCTGCAATTACATTAATGTATTATACTGTACAGCAGATTTTACTGTACATTAATGTAGTTAAAGAAATTAGGTGTAGGATAGGTTTGTCTTTGTTGGTGTTTTATATTATAACTAGCTGACCCAGCGAACTTCGTACCGCCCTAAAAAAATAGGGGTTGTCCAGCGGACAAAATTGTGAATCTAAACCATTCTCAGATCCCCTTGAACACACACAAAAAATTTCATCAAAATCGGTCCAGTCGTTTAAGAGAAGTTCAGTGACATACACACTCACAGAAGAATTATATATATAAAGATATTAAATTGAACGTCGACGGAGAATATTTTGTTCATATTTCAACCAAAAACAAGTATTTTCTTAAATAGCGCATTACAACAATATCGTTGAGCTCATTAGGACAGTTAATTTGGATTTATTGCCAAAATTATTTATATCATATTAATTATGTAGTTAATTATCAATCAATCATGTGATTTCACTTCATAATAGTGTATAGCAAAGTATCGTTGAGAATATGTAGTGACATTTATTTGGTACGGTGGCGGTCAGAAAATGTTTACCAGTTTTGAAATTAGATAGAATCTAATGACAAAAAAGTATGACTACTTTTTTCACTAAAGTCTAAAATGCCATATCAAGTAATTTATTACCTTTCAAAAGTTATTATGCAATATGACGCAACGGGAATAACAAAAATAAATTACTTATATATTACTTTTTGATATTGAAACTCATTTCTTTATTGGTTGAAATGACATTTATAAAAAAAATGATTGTTTGAACATTGGTTAGACAAGAGCAAAATTTCATGAATAATATTTTCATAACGAAATAAAATGACAAGTTTGACCCTGGAGCAAAGGGCTGAAATAATATTTCTCTTCGAAGATGGACAAGTATTAGTGATATATTACGAGGACTCAATATATCGCGATTCACTGTGAGGTTGTGGATCCGGCGTCACGGCGAAGAAAGGCAATTAACAGATCATAGAAATAATCCAGGACAGCGATCAATTCTAACCGCCACGCAAATAACAGAAATGATTCGTCGTTATAAAGAGAATGGTTTTACACCAACTAGTTATTTTGCAGTTTTATATGGTGTGAGTGTTCGGATGATCCGACGAGCTTTGCACAGTGCTGGACTACACTACAAACACCATGCTACGAGTATTAAAGTGGAGCTGAAACCTCACCACAAAACAGCCCAGCTTAACTTTGCATCATGATTTTGCTTAGTCGAATACTATATATTTACCGATGAGAAAACCTTTAAATCAAGCCAAATATATATATATAAGTATGATGAAACTCATATCGTGCCTCAAAACGAGTCAGGTCGCATAACAGTAAACTTATGGGGGTGGATGAGCCTCGACGGCGTCGGAGAACTGGCGTCGTTAGAGAATAGGGCTACTGCCATTAATTATGTGTCGCTTTTGGCAGAAGTGATGCTGCCTACTGTGCGCGTAGTGTATCCAGCAACAGAATTCCCGCCAATGACTTGAGATAATGCACGGATACACACGGCCCGTGCTACTATGGCGTGGTTCAACCTGCACCGTGACATTCGTCCCATTCAATGGCCCGCTAGGTCTGCTGATTTAAACCCTATTGAAAATTTATGGGGGCTTGTGGTTCAATGCTGGGACTGTCAAAATGAAAGCAACCCTCATGATCTTAGATCACACTGGTACCGCTCGAGTATGGGATGATATCAGAGGGACCGATCTATGCGCGCATATTGTTGCATCAATGCGAGATAGACTTCGTGCCGTCCTAGCTGCAGAGGGAGGTTATACTAGATATTAAATAAAGATTTTTGAAGTTTCTATTTTATTATTTCTTCATATTCTTAGTTAAAAAACTAAAATATTAGTTTTTTCAATGGTTCTCTAGATTTGTATGACGTCACGGCTAGTGCAGAGGTCGCGGGTTCGATTCCCGTACGGCACAGATATTTTGTATGGCCTACAGAAATTTGTCCTGGTCTGGGCGTATGTGCAATGTGCATGTGAGATTATTTTTTTTTGTAATGACACCTACGATACAGAGGGAGATCCTAGTGTGAGGCAAAGTATTTAAAATATATATATATTTAAATATATATATATATATATCAAACCTTGGTAGTAGTTAGTCCATCGCCTAGAGCGATTGATTGTCATATCCTTACAAAAAAGATAAATGTGACCTAAATGTGTGCATGCAATTATGATCCTTAAGGTGGTAAACATTTTATGACCCGCTACCGTACATTAATCAATACCTAAGGGCCTACTACAATAAAATGAAAACTTTATTAAAGGCCGTTATTCAAATCTTTGTTAGATTTGAATTTATCCGACAAAGTTCTACCGATTTTTTGTAGTAAGAAGCCCTTTGAACATGACGGCAATTATTCTTAATTTACAAAACAAATGACAAATTTTATTACGAAGCTATCCGTTGAAAGTTGTAAGCTATAAAATATTACAGTTCGGATCAATCCAATCGTATAAGGCAGAAAACAAGTTTTGGAAATTGGCAGTCAGTTGCTTTTCAGACACTGTAGGTGACATGATAAGCCAAGGCATTTGTGCTATCTAAATGGATTTCTTTAGCAAAAACTACAATATGCGATTTAATAAAATTTTAAATATAAGTTTAGTTCCATTTTAAAGAGCAAATCAACAGAACGAACAGGGTGTCCTTTTTCTCTTAGGCAGTGGCTGCATTTCGAAATTTAAACAAGTGGACTTGATTATATTTTTATTTCAAGCATTAGGTAATTAATATTTGCAGCTTGCAGCATTTAACTGTTATGGTTTTTTAAGTAAAGAAAATTTAAGTAGAAAAAAATAACTCGGCTCGGATTTCAGACTGGACAAGTAGACCTTTTTGGGGTAATTTCTTATAAACTAACGTTTTTTCTAATAAATTTTCTTATCGACATAAATATTTAAGCTTTAAATAGAATCTGGTGGTAAAATTTGGCAATGCAGCCTTAGCTATATGTAGACATAATTTCATTATAAAAAAACGTTTGAAAAGTTCATGTCATTGGCAATTTGAAGTCAAAATTTGTAAATAATATGGAGGAAAACTAAATGAATTAATGTATAATAAATAAAAAAGCTTATAAGGACTAATTACTTGTAATGCAAAATGTTGAATTGTTATTTGATAATGTTTCTGACTAGTGAATTGTATGTATAATAATAAATAAGCTGTTTGTAATTTAGTACAATAATAGGATAATAGGAAACTAATAAAGAGTGTGTATTTACACACAGCATATGAAATTTGTTGAAGGTTTTATTATGAAATTCATAAAGGAAGACAATAGTACAATGCATTGTTGAAAAGAGATTTTGAACATTTATTTGGATGTGCCAGATGTTCTACCTACTCTAAGGCGTCGTCCTAATTGACCAAGATCGTGCGATAAAACGATGCGATCTCGTCATGCGATGATAATAATCGTTTTTTTTAGTGTGAATGCTGTCGGTTGCAGATGAACTTTACAGCTTCACCGGGTTTGGTTACGGCAAGGTCCTAAGGGGACCTCAAGCCGAGTGCCTCTAGAGGTATTCCAGGTGCATGGTATCTCCCCGTGGGGGAGTGTCCACTCCGTCTGTAACCTCTAGATCACTCGAACTCGAGTCTGAGACTCGAACCTCGTCACTAGTTTGCCGTTGTCGTGGGTGTACGATGTTTGAACAGAGATGTCCTAATAGATCGCGCCCACCCAAGGTCGCTGAAATCCTTAGTTCGATTGTTATTAAAAATGCCTGTGCTCGTGCGACAGCAAGATGTTATGCTGTACGCAGGAGCCCAGGCATGACGAGCTGTAATTAGAACACTTCTTCACAGGAATGCCGAAGAAATCTGTATGTTTGAAAATCACTACGAGAAGTACGAGAACGCAACATTTCATCGTGCGATTGTTACCAATTAGGATGACGCCATACAGTTACAAACTAGTTTCTTCGTCGGATTATGAATTTGCTTTGACGGAAATAAGAAAAGATATCAGTATTTGTATCAGATATTTTGTTAGAAATAATAATAAGTAGCAAACAAATTGAAGTAGCCTTTCCTATCATTTTTGAAACAAATATATTGTATTACTTTCGTAGATGATGCCTGTATCGAATCATTTCATAACCAACAGGATAATAAGTTTATTAGACGTATTTAATTATTTTTTTTATTTAATAAGAGTTTCCGTTTTGGGACATTAAAATCTTCATTTAAGCTTTTCTGAAATACTTAACCACATTAACGAAGCGAAAATGAGCATCAACCTTATAGCCTGCGCTGGCGAGGGACTTTTGTCCGCCGTAATAGATAGCTTACAACTACAACGAGTAACGCACACGACGGATTAAAAATACCGAGGACAAAAACTCCCCTGAACTACCGCGAACACTGAGGGATCGGAAATGACAACAGTACGCGAGAATCCTAGAAATAAATATAACATAATATGACAAGGGGCGTCAAATGCAGACTTTAGTCCACGGTGTGCACTTGATAGTGATGTACGTGGTAAAGAAGTTGAAAGAAGAACTCTTTTCTATGATACATCAAAAAAAGAGTATCTTGACCGAAAGGACAGTGGCGAAATATTTGTTGAAGGAATTCTTTAGCGTCTATAAATTACATCGTCAGAAATGCAAATAAAATAATCTTAACGGATTTGTTTATTAGGTTTTCACGCACATCACTCACTAAATAAAACTAGTTTTAACGGGTTAATGTATGAAACTTTATTTATTTATTTCACATTCTGACGATGCAGACCTGAAAAGGCTGCGAAACGTCAATATATAAATAAAGTTTCGTGTATTAACCCGTTAAAACTAGTTTTATTTAACGGATTAATCAAAAATTTAGGATGATTGTTAAAGTTTGAAGTTAAAAAAAAATAATTAAATACTTGCAATCGAGTTATTATAAGTAATCTCATTTTTATTATTGTGGCAGTTAGGGTCATGTCTTCTGAGCGTGTGATGTGATTTTAAGTGATTTCAATGATCAATCAACCTAAAGTATGTTCTTCGTATGTTTTGCATCGCTTTGCGCTTAAACTATATTAAATTATCTTTCAAAATGATCGTGAAACATTGTTTTATTCAATATTATAATAAAGAATAATAAATCTCGATATAAAGGGTTAATATTCTTTTTCTGTAACTTCATCTTAATTACAATAACAACGTTATCTCAGAACATTGGTACCAACCAAATATCCGCACACCGTGAGCGTTGAGTCCGTAACAAGTCCTCGGCGGACAATTTTTGCATAATACGCGGACAAAAGTCCGTCGTCTGCGCAATCCACTGAGGAAATTTTGCCTCTGCCTTACTCGGCACGTTTGAAAAAAAATCTTCCTCCTTGTTGACGATGGGATTTTCATTATTGCACCCGCTTCCGTCTTATCGACGACAGAAGTCCCAGTTTTCCGCCCACATTCATTAACTCATAGTATTCCACGCGCTGTCACCTTATTGACGTTGGTAT